CGTTGGGGATGGGGCCTCGGCAGAGCTGGATTGGGGAGAGCCTGTGGGGGGAAAGAGCGGGGAAAGCAGCCGAGAGAACACATGCTGAGCCATGGTGGGAAGGTTCCCAAGCATGTGCCCCCACTTACCCTGGATTCAGTTGTGATGATACTTCAACCACAAGACATCTGATTAGGGATGCGTGATGCATCCCTAATGACAAAGCAGTGATTGCTTTGTCATTTCAGCCTAGGTGAGTCCTGTATCTAAACAGGCTTATCAGGTGATGAGGATCTGTAGGTAGGGTAAGACCCTAGTACTCTCCTGCCCCATGCTCTGTTGCTTCAGGAACAAGCTGTGGAAATGTCCCTGCTTGTCTTATAAATCATGTCCTGCTCTTTGTTTGTCTCTGGGAGCAGCACAAGAGCCCCCACTGGGTGTTGGAGGGGCTGGGGATGCCAGGATCTGTGTGTTTGTCTGTCTTCCTTGGAAACAGGTGTTAGCAAGGGAGTGGCAAGCGCCCTTACTCTGTCCACCACTCTGTGGCCTGCCATTGAGGTATGTGGTACACAAAGGGTTAGGTGCCTTACAGTGGAATTGCTACCCAGGCTTTTCTCTCTGGCCTGTGTTACCAAGGAAAAGATCTCCGCCCCCCTCCCCACCAACCCTCACCCTGTCCATTTGGCAAAATTCCTAGCTGGATTTATTTCTGCCGATTTGCTTGTCTTGGTATGAAAGGGATTTTCACAGGGGAAAGACCTGATTGGCTGGACTCAGGGTAAAGCCCCTCTTTTTCATTTTTGCGGTTCATTGGCTAACCTTTACCCAGAGTGCAGCCTTCGTGGGGAGGGGAGGGTGGTCCTTTGAGAGCATGTGCATGAGTCTGCTGGGCAAGTGACATTGTTTCAGCCTGAAGGGATCAGGCCTTTGGGGCAGGGCTGTCTTCATGCTCTGGACTCGGGGAGGAGCAGGGCTGGGACTCCTCTTCCACCTTTCTTGGCAGTGTCTTTGGCACTTAGGGTTGGCATAGACTCCAGAGGGCTGCAAGCTCCTACTTCAGAGAGGCAGATAAAGAAAGCACTTTCTATCAACAAAGCCCAGCCCAGCTTCCACAGCACGGGAGGAGGAGGAGGAGGAGGGATCCTAGAGGAAAAGGGGGAAGAAAGTCCAGCCCTTCCTATCTAGAGAGGGGAGAGTAAAGAGGGAGGAGGACATATGAAGCTCGCCAAAAAACGTTGGAAGCATCGGAAGCCCCTGGTGGGGGTTGAGTATGTTTGCTGGTTGTAGGGCTACTTTTGATTTTGGACTGACTCATGGATTTGACTTGATTTGGCTGGGAACACAAAACATTTCTTTAAAAAAAAAAAAAAGGCATGTGAAGGGAGCTCAGCTCTGTTCTGAAGCTGTCATGGCAGCAGCAGAGTAATTCCAGCAAGTTCTGCAAGACTGAGGCAAGGGTCCAAAGGGAAGAAAAAGAAAGTAGACTCCCAAATCCACCCATGGAGCCCATGCAATGCAGCCCTTCTGCAGGGCCTAATTTTCACTCTAGTTAAGCCTAGCCAAGGACTCCTGTGGCCCACCCAGAGCAGCTCTTCCAGAGCGGTGGTCTTGTTCATGTGACCTAGGGAAAACCAGTGGCTTCTTCTGCTCGTGTCACCAAGACCTACTGTCAGGTTAACTCCAGCCTGTCCTGGTGGTCTCACTTTAGATCATGTGATTCAGGTCCAGCCCAGCAGACTCCCTTACAACCACCCCTACATCCTACACAACTCATGCATGACTCAATGGGCCCTGGCATCCCCTGTGACTTAGGCTATGCTCAGTGGGTCCCAGTATCCCACAGAGCACACATGTTCCTATGACCCAGGCCTATCTCAGTAGACACCAGCATCCCATAGACCTCAGGCACAGTTGGTCTTCCTGCCCCATATGATTGTGACCAACCTAGCAGGACCCCTAATCCCAGATGATTCCAGGTGGTCTTGCAGTCAGTAGTTTCCTGTCAAGCATTTTGCATCCCCTGCTACCCTTGCCAGCCTTTCTGATCTCTCTACCTTATTCTAGGTGCTGTGTTGTCTCAGTTGCTCCCAAGATGCACCCATCTATTTTCACACAGTAATGTGTGTGTGGATGGATACGGGGCCTCTCCAAAACTGGGCAACCTGTTGGCCATGCAGGAACTCAGGGAACCTTACTTGACCCCTTTATTTTCTGATGGGTGGGAGGGCAGCGGGGGCAAAGAAACATCAAGCCTGATGTTAGCACTCACCCCTTTCACTTCCTGTCCTTGCTGCAGGTCACGATATCAATGGAGCTCTGGAGCCTTCCAACATTGATACCAGCATTTTGGAAGAGTACATCAGCAAGGAAGACTCACCAGATATGTAAGTGCTTGCTGACCCACAGCTGGGGGCTGCCTGGAGGGGCAGGTTCAGGTGTTTTCAGCAGGGGGACAGACGAAGAAGTTGGACAGTTTCCTTTCCAGTGATGCAATGACTCATTTGTAAATTGCTTCCTTGTGTCTCCCTCTCTACCTCTGTCTTTTTTAGAGTCTCTGCCTCATGTTCTCTGCTACCTTATTTTTTGCAATCCCATCTTCTCCTTTCTTTTCTTTTTCCACCTTTCTGTTTCTCTGTCTCTCCTTTTTTACCTCCCTGGTAGGATCACTGGAGAATCCTTTACTCCAGTCCTCTGAAGACTCCCTTTGAGTTGTAGCAAAAGCAGCACAAAGGAACTCAGATGAATGCAGTTTCATCTGCTCTCCCATATGTTGCTAAGAATATTTCCAAGAAAGAGAGAGAGCCCTTGGATGGTGTGTATGGAGCAGGAAGAGATCTCTATGGTACCAGAAGGGAGTGCCCTCCCCAGAGTGTGCCGAGACAAGTGAGGGTCCAGGGAAGGGAAGTCTCTCCTAGGTCCTGGCAGTGGGGATCTGGGATCTCATGTGTTGAGGTTGTGGTGCTGTCCTGCTGTAGTCAGTTGTGTCTTACCATGAGCTGAGTCACTCTGAGAGGAGCCTGCAACTGTACCATCCTTCTTAGATCCTGCAAATCATTTGGGATTGGGCTTACTCAGTCAGATTTTAGAATGGGAACCCTCAAAGGAAGACCCAAGGGGTATGATGTGCCAATGCCAGAGGCAGCACAGGTGGGGAAATAGTCTGCTGGAGCTGTTGTCTTCCCCTCCGTGAGCTGGAAAACTGAGGGCCTGTGAGCAGTTTTTGCAGCATTCAGGCCATGATGGCTACGTTGTCCTGGGTGGTTGCATTCTGTTATTCTCCATTTCTCTTCTGAGCTCTCAGAGTGTGTGTGCTGGAGCAGCTGGGCAGCAGTGCCTCCATCCCTGAGGAGGGAGTGTGAATGGAAACTGCAGGGCTGAAGTGGCAGTGAAAGGTATGGTATACATATACCACTGAGGTTCTCAACTTCTCTTCCACAGATGTTTCCCTGACATCCCTGCCTCAGCCAGCTATGCACACGCCCAGCCTTCCAGTTCTGCCACTGCCAATGCTTCTGTGGCCAGCTCGATCTCCAGTGCTGGCCATGTGAACAACCCAGTGTCCACAGGCTCACTCCACCTTGGTCCCCTGGGTAGCCAAGTCCCGGTCCGTCATGGTCCTCTTTTGCCCAACCCCTGTGGACCCAGCTACAGTGCTCACCTTAACTGCAATAATAACAATGGCATGGTAGTGCCCAAGGGGTACCACAGCGGCCACTGCCTGAACAACGTGGTCCCTCCAATCAAAGCGGAGCCCAAGGCCTCCTACGCACCTGGGTAAGTGAGCTGGAGCAAGGGAGGATGAGTGAGGGCAGGTGGTGAGGCCAGATGTTTCTCCAAGGCTGGAGCTAACTATGTGTTAGGGCCTCTGAGGCCTGACATGCTTGTTCCACAAAGCCTTGGGTGGTAGGGACACAAACATATTTGGGCTCTTAAATCATGCACAGGTGCCTAAACATGGATATAGGTGGTGAAACTTGAGTCCTGAAGTTTGACAGTGCTGTGCAAAATCTCTGCCTCAGTCACATGCATCAGAATAGATTAAACCAGGAGTGGGCAAAATGCGGCCTGCGGTCTAGATGCGGCCTGCCAGGCCATTCTATCTGGCCTGTGGGGCCCCTAAAAAATTTAGTAAATTAATATTTATCTGCCCCTGGCTGCCTGTCGTGTGGCCCTTGATGGCTTGCCAAAACTCAGTAAGTGGCACTCCGCCCAAAATAATTGCCCGCCCCTGGATTAAACCGATCACAACCCTTATGGCAACATGGTGTGAATGCCAATGGTGTGATGGCCAACAGCTTTCACAGATGGTGTGAAAGCCAACAGCTAGGGAGGATGAGGATCAAGGACTTTTATGGAACACACCTGCAGATTCACAATGGAAGAATCTTATAGTGTCTCTATGAAAAAAAAGATGTCCACGCTTGGGATCCATTCTGGATGGAGAAAATCCTCATTCCAGGATTGCACTGTGCCTGTCCTAGTTGAGCTGAATCAGACTAAGCAGTACCTTTCTTGGTATGGCATCTTGCTTGCTGTACTCAACAGAAGAATGAAATGGAATGTGAACTATATTTGCAGTCACTTGGAATGGGCTCTGTGTGCCACCCTTTTTAGGGGGAGGAAGACTGAATTTCTGTGTCTGTGATGCCCTGGACTAGATTGGATGTGTAGCTCCATTTGGAGAAATTACATCCAGCATCACAATCTAATTTCTGTGCTCTGGGGCATTGGCGGGCATAATGGGTAGGGAGGAACTAACAGCAGGGATGGATGGAATATGGCAAGAGCATGCCACTGATTGCTGTGGTTAGCCAGGATTGGTATATTGTGATTGGACTGCTATGGCACACTAGCAGGGCACAGCAGTGCTGGCCAGACCAGATACTGTCATGGTGGACAGGGTGCTGGTTACCATGGGGAGTGAGAGGTGGCTGGTAACCATTATATCCATGGGAAAATATACCCTAGCTCTTTGAGCTAAGAGAGGGTGTCTTGCTCCTCTGCAGTACCACACCCTCTCTCCTCCTCATTCTCTATGAGATGCATGGCAGCCTGGCCACATCCTCTCCCTATAGCTCCACCTGCTACAGCATCTAAAAGGTCCTGGCATCGCCCACCCATCCCAGACAGACAGTGTGTTGGCATTGCTGTGGTACTTCAAGGACTGCCTCCTTCTTCACTGATGTGAGTAGGTGCTTCATGCAGAGGTCAAAGCTGGGATGAGGCCTTTGTTTGGTGCAAGGTTGTGCATTGCTCATTGACTTTTTCTTTTTTGCTGGGCCAAATTCATCCTTGGGAAGGACTTGGCCCACTGGAGAAATTCAGAAAGATCCTCATGAAAGAGATGGAAATAAATAAATAAACTGGTTCTTGTATCTGTTCTCATTTTATTCCCAGTGTGGGAGATAAGACTGAGATTTCCTTTGCTCATTGTCTATGAAATGAGAAGCAGCCCAGCACAGGTCATGTCTTGAGCATTCCAGCTATTCACTACACTGGTTGCTGCAGGCCTGCATGGAATATGTCATGGTGATCATAAGGACTGCAGCCCTGCTCTGTAAGCACTGTCAGCTCACCTGCCTGTTGGTGTGTGGGGTGTCTTGCCTCAACACTGGTACAGGTGAGCTTGAGTCTTGTGGGACATTGGAAAATTTTGGATAACCCATAGTTTGGATCCAGGGAGCTACAGCCAAGGAGGAAGCTCTGCTTGATGCTCAGGATGTAGGGAGGAGCTGGAACTCAGCAAGATGGGAGTCTCAGCTAGCTTGAGCTCAGAGCAACTCTTCCACCTCCTGCGCTCTCCCTCCATGCTGAGAACTGCTCTCTCTGCGGCAACCTGCTCAGCACTGCCCCAGAATTACAGGCCAACTCCAGTGCACTCAATGAGTGTCTCGTTGACTCAGAGCCCGCCCCTTCCTCTGAGATCCGAGAAGGCTTCATGTCATCCCAGGAATCATCCCATGCAAGCCTACTGACCTGAGGCCAAGGCCTGATAGGTATCACTCCCAAAGAAGCAGAAACACACCCATCAGGTTTACATTGTTCTTCAGAAGACAAGAATGGCACAATCAAAAATAATTTGTACTGAACTCCAGATTGCCTCTGGGCTCTTTGCCTCTGTAGCTTGAAACCCTGTCTCATAGGTGTTTGTGCTATCACCCTCAAACCTGCCCCATGTTCTCAATGGTCTGGAAAACAGACTCCTTGTGGATTTCTGTGGCATGTAGATTATAGACCCACTTGCTACACCATGCAAATCAGATCTAACTCTTAGTGGTATGCAGAGTGCATCCATCACCCTTCACCCCATGCCCTCTGTGGGGTGCTTTTGCTAGGGCATTGCTTGCAGTCTTACTAGAGTTACCTCCTTTTCCTCTAAATGGAAGACCCATGCTACATCCCCTGGGCAAAGGAGAGGATCTAAAGTCTCTCCACCTTGGGAGAACTGGGAAAATATCATGTACCTACCCTATAGGCAGCATGGGGAAGCCTACAGGGGGTCTGGGAAGTAAGGTTAGAGAGGGCATACTAATATGGAAGTGGAGCAGAAGGCACATAAGGGAGCCTGCAAGACCCAGATCCAAAAGAATGCCCCCCTGGTGGTGGTGCAGGGGGCAGGAAACAGACTCACCACCTTTTAGTGGGTTGATTTTCCCTCTCGTCCCTCAAACCCCTAATAAAAAGACTTAGTCAGCTGGCATCAGTCCCATTTCTTAGGCAACCTGCCACCTTAACTCTGTAGCCTTTGTAACGCTCAAGATCTGATTACATCATAGTGTGAAGCATCTTTGGGGTGAAGAGAGGGGTCTAACTTAGACATTTTTTCAGAGAGGCTTGTGTGCATTCTGCAAGACCCCAGTTCACCACACACTCT